TGCGTTACATACAGTAACTTTGACCTTGACTTTTGATCCTCAAATACCCCAACTCTTTCTTCTGTGGCAAGTTTGAAATGAGGTTAAGGTCAAATAGTAAACTACATATTGTGTCAACAATATAGGAAAGAAATTGATTTGACTTTGTCCTTATAACACTAAAATTTACAGATTTGTTCATCTGATCGTGTACCATCTCTATAGCGAATTTAGAGACTAAACAGTGAAATGATACTCAGCATACCCAGTTCACATCATTGCTGATAGGACACCTTTGAACTTGACTTTTTGATTCTCATATCTCTAGCGTTTTACTCTGGTCATTTTCTATCTCTCAGCAAGTTTGAGACTGAAACGTCATTCATCTACACATCCTAACACTGTTAGCTCAAGGTAAGTTTAACTCGGACCTTTTGTGCTTCAAACAACCAGCGTTTCTCTAGTCAGTTGGTAAAATGATTACACGTCATGTCCAAAACATTTTATAGACATTCATACCCTGCTCATTTTCTACCTCTACAGAGAGTTTGAGACTAAATTGTCCAGTAGTTCTTCAAATATCGTTTCACAACATTGTTTGGGGTCCACCAATTACCTAGGTACTAAATTTGTTGGTCTTAACTCCATATGCATTGCCTACTGGCACTATTCCTACAGCTTATGATAGTTGTGCTGAAATTATAAGTATTTCGTAATCTTCTGGTCATGGCTAGTAACTCCAAATTTGTTTTTGGTTACAGAGGAAGCTCAAAACAACCCAAATGTTTCCCTTGAATGTGACTCTACCTTGATGAGTTTCGGATCAAGTTTGCATTTCGGTCTGCTTTGATGGGTAGCTTTAAATAAGTTGGCTAGATTGCGCCCTGATTTACAATGGTTTTCTTGGGATGAAACGTAGTATTCACTGTTTTTTGGTTTCTCTTTAATTTGTGATTATCGTCATTTCGTTTAGTTTTGTCATAAACATGTACCTCCAGAACGAAGCTTCAACAGACGATTGGTTTCTGGATGTGACAAATTCCTCCGGGTATTACAATGTAGTAATTAAGGAAAAAAATCTTCCTCAAAATTAATAATAAAAGAGACAACTTCAGATCAACACAACATACACGTAAAAAGGTTACAATCCAACGTAAAACAGCCAATGTCATTTCGACGTTGCAGGACTGAGAAATATTGAAAGAATCCATAATTTGTTCGAGAACACATAGCTTCACATCAATATATCATGAAATAAAATGGTTTCGATGAAATCACACTCAAATCAAGCAACAATGCATGAAACAACTAAAATCAAAGTAAAATTCTATAAATCAGTCGGGAACACTCAATTCCCTATCAATATGACATATAAGGATATTCACCACAATGGGATATCAAATCATTCAAGGATATCACCACAACGGGATATCAAATCATCCAAGGATATCACCACAACGGGATATCACTACTAAGGGCCTTATCAAAACATACAATGATATCACCACAATTGGATATCAAATCATACAAGGATATCGCCACAACGGGATATCAAATCATCCAAGGATATCACCACGACGGGATATCAAATCACTACTACGGGCCTTATCAAATCATACAAGGATATCACCACAACTGGATATCAAATCATCCAAGGATATCACCACAACGGGATATCAAATCACTACTACGGGCCTTATCAAATCATACAAGGATATCACCACAACGGGATATCAAATCATCCAAGGATATCACCACAACGGGATATCAAATCACTACTAAGGGTCTTATCAAAACATACAATGATATCACCACAACGGGATATCAAATCATACAAGGATATCACCACAACGGGATATCAAATCACTACTAAGGGCCTTATCAAAACATACAATGATATCACCACAACTGGATATCAAATCATCCAAGGATATCACCACAACGGGATATCAAATCATACAAGGATATCACCACAACGGGATATCAAATCACTACTAAGGGTCTTATCAAAACATACAATGATATCACCACAACGGGATATCAAATCATACAAGGATATCACCACAACGGGATATCAAATCACTACCAAGGGCCTTATCAAAACATACAATGATATCACCACAACTGGATATCAAATCATCCAAGGATATCACCACAACGGGATATCAAATCATACAAGGATATCACCACAACGGGATATCAAATCACTACTAAGGGCCTTATAAAAAAAATTTGATGATATCACCAAAACGGCATATCAAATCATACAATGATATCACCACAACTGGATATCAAATCATCCAAGGATATCACCACAACGGGATATCAAATCATACAAGGATATCACCACAACGGGATATCAAATCACTACTAAGGGTCTTATCAAAACATACAATGATATCACCACAACGGGATATCAAATCATACAATGATATCACCACAACTGGATATCAAATCATACAAGGATATACACCACAACAGGATATCAAATCATCCAAGGATATCACCACAACGGGATATCAAATCATACAAGGATATCACCACAACGGGATATCAAATCACTACTATAGGCCTTATCAAATCATACAAGGATATCACCACAACGGGATATCAAATCATACAAGGATATCAAAGCAACGGGATATCAATTGACTCCTAAGGGCCTTACCAAATCATACAAGGACATCATAAAGGGATATCACCATCCCGCCATATTGAATCATATGAGGATACTACAACGGAAATGGGATTATCTTATCAAATAATTAAGGATATCATCGCAACAGATTATGAAAACCTTATAGGAATGGGGGGGGGGGGGGCGTGCCCCCCAATAATTTTGCCGATATATAGATTACTATAGAAAACATAGCTACTATATATATATTTTTTTGGCTTTTCAAGATTTTTGGTAGGTGGTAGTGCCCCCTCATCTGAAAATGTATGGCTGTGCCCCCCTCCCCCAACTGAAATTGCTTCCTACGGGCCTGTATTGCTATCTGATGCCCTGGCTACAGTGGATTTTCTTTTAGGCAGCTCAGTGCCCAGTGCAGAGAATTTTACCTCGCTGTCAGAAATGTTACAGTTATAGTGCCACCCATAAAAAAGTGTATGCATATTTATTGCGCTGTTTTATTTCTCCGAGCGTATATTCAAGCTTCCATCTCAAAATATTACTAACCGTGTTTCCTAAAATATAATCTTAACATTCCCCATAATCTTTGTTAATAGCTAGCCCTCCTGGGCCTGAAATTGAGACCATCGAAAATTTAAATTTAAGCTGCCATATTTGGTATCATGACAATTTAGTCCGACGCGCTTCTTGCAGATGTCAAACAAGAGAAAAGAGAGAGGTCTAGGGAATTTTTTGAAATCGAGCTTTTGTGTATAACTGAGGTAAGAATTTGAAGAAATGAATGCAGAACCGAACCGAGCGCAACTTTTTGTGCGCAATAAATACACGTTTTTTTTTCTATGGCTAGCACTATAGCTCTCCGGTCTGTCATTTATTTTTTGGAGAGCTACAGTTTTACAGCTACCTCCTGGATGAAAAAAAATTCCAACAATATTCTTAGAAATGATTTTGGCTACTGCGTAAAATGTAAGAAAAGTTCCTAAACCTCTTTTTTTAAATAGAAAAATGTCGGGGGGTTTGGTCCCCAAGTGGCCTTCCCTATGAAAATGAAAATTCTGAAACCTCATTACACATCTACAGGACACCACTATTCATATTCAAAAAGATGATTGGCTACTACTTAAAATATAGGTGAAATTCTTGAAAAACCGTTGTTTTTCAATCCCTATTTGGTCCAATGTTGAAAAACGAAAATTCCAAATCTTATCGCACACCATTTATAATCCAAAATATGAATTGGCTACTGCTTAAAATGTAAGAGGAATTTGAGGAAGAATATAGTTTGACAGACTCACGGCTACACGGACGGACCAAATTAATATCTATATATACTCGATCGAACTTCCTATAGAAAGTTCAGGTATAAAGTCAATCACATTTCACAAAGGAATGCCTTCCAGGGTGACTAGATGAAAATCCAAAATACATTGTTAATAAAAATATCTCTCAGAACTGTTCAACAATAACTATTGGCGTAAAATCCAACAGTTTCAGGATGAACAACGGAAAAAGGATGGGATGATTGGTCTTGTTCACGAAGTACCTTTGCTTCCATTGTTTATTTGTTTGCTTAATTTGCATCCCTTCGAGAATTTTTCACTCAATGACTAGTGAAAAGCTGCAAATTTAGACCTGTTCTCGGCACTTATGACCGTTGAGCAGTGAGGGGTCTCTTCCGTGCCAGCACGGGACCTGGTTTCCGCTGAAAAAAAAAACGATTCTGCAGTTGGATTTGAACACGTAACGTAAGGATCATCTCCTCACACGATCCGTGACTCTTCAAGAGTCACGCTCTAATTAACCACTGTTCCACGTGGTATAATAACCATATGATTGTATACAGTATATTAAAAAAATGAACAATCGGAACTGGTCCAAGACATCACAAAACGTTCACATAATATTCTTTAAACTGTACTCGATACAAAGACAAATATGTACATGTTTGTCTACATCCTCACAACGTCAGGGGTCCTGTATCAACTCGTTGCCGTAGGACGAGTTGACACAGGACCCCTGACGTTATAAGGATGGTGTGTCTATATAGAAAGAGGTGTATGGATCCCTGGAAAAGACCATCTCTTTCTTTTCAGTTCTGTACTAACTGTGGTTCATGACTGAAGTAGTCAATATTTAATTAAATTTTCTGCAGTGATTTAGGTTTATTATGAGGACCACTTCTGTCTCAGTTTGTGTCTTTCAGGCAAAGTGCGCCTTTCCTTATTTCTCACGCTCGACTCTTTCCATCCGTACAGCGCTCCAATTTGAAAATTTCCACTGATTCGCTTTGGGTGTTCATATTGTACTAAAATTGGTGATTTCACAGAATTAAATAAAGAATTATCGATATTAATACATATTTTTCTATTTTTCCCCACGTATTAAGGCAATGTGATTGATGCAAAAAGAGTATAAGGATCCCAACAAAGAGAAAATTGAGGAAGAAGAAACCGCAAACGCTACCTTACAAGAAGAAAAACATCCAGAGGAAGAAGATCTAACTAGAGCCGTACAAGAGAGTGAAAAACAACAGTCCATATTACCTTTGGTCAAACAGGAGCTTAATTATAAGATCCGCTTCAAGCGACTCTCAGAAGGCAAAGAAGAGTTTGTTCACGAAGAACCCAAACAACATCACTACGAGGTAGGAATCACGAACAGTTAAAATTTAGAGTACGCAGTACTCGTCGTGGAATGAGCAATGTATAGGCAATCAAATAAAGTAGAAGTAAGACAAATATAAATTCTATGTGTATAGTTTTACAAGAGACATAAATAACATAATCTATGTCTCTTTTTTTACCTGGTTAAACAGTGTAGGACTTGTAGCAAAGTCTATGGATATTTCTTTTCAAATTTGGGATTGAAACAACATTCAGATCTCCCTGTTTGAGACATTTTATTATGAATCCCCACATTTTTTGTCAATGATTAAAGAGTACAAAGCAATTCAGCACATTAAGCATATTTTGAAATTAAGGGAGAATATTATATTTGAAATTTTGCTTATATTAAAATGCAAAAAGTCACAATTTCTCTTTGAAGTCGCAACAGTCCTTATTGCCTTTGGTCAAAAAGATTCGCTACAAGCGACTGCCAGAGGGCTAAAAGGGAAATTGTTTATGAATGTAGCTTTGTAAGAAAACATATTTTTTTAAAGTCGACTAAGAAAGGAGCACAATTTGTGCCCATGGGAACTCCGGCATCTTTTTTATTACTTGTATTTAGAATCAGAATGATTTTGAATAATTTATTTTGTAATGTGACCAATTACAAGATGTGATAAATTTCGCAGGAGCCGTTGTCTATGATGTTAAAAAAAAACTACTGAATTTGATCACTTATCAGATCTTAAATCACTATATGAACACTTTATATTACCACATGTAAAGAATGTCAAGTCATTCTCTTTTGCTCTTTTAGAGATAGTATCATGTTTTTTAGGCAACTGATACAACGATCTTGCCCTTTCTGGTGTACCTCGAATGTCAACGTGACAACAAACCACGCAATGCTGTATGGAGCATCAATTTATTCTCATTTTTGTCTTTTAGGGGTAGAATACAAAATTTTAATCCCAGACCAAGTTGAACGTTTTCTGTTCTGAAAGAATAAATGCATTTTAGTACATAAGTCTACTACTTTACTGGTATCACTCTGAACATTTTCTTGTCTCTATTATAATTATTAAACAACAGATATTAAATTAATGTGAAAACATGCATGCAGATTCAATGTATATAAATGAAAAATACTCATTTTAAGCTCACTGAGTACGAGAAGCAAAAAATCGAGGAGCGAAGACGACAGAACAGACAGTCAGCACAGCGTTCGCGGAAAAGGTCCGAGGATTACGAACAGACCCTTAAACAGGTACAGTACTTTTACGTTATTCAGGTAGTGTATTCTAGGTAGTGTTATTTCCTTTTTAATACTCTTTCAGAGGATCAACAATCTCTCAAAGGAGAACATTGAATTGTCAAAGGAAAGGGATCAACTGAGAAAAGCAAAGGAAAAGCTGCTTCTAGAATTTAGAAAGGTTGGTTGTTTTCCTTCGGCAAGGGTTTGTTCTTGCGGAGTCCGGTTAGACACAAGTAAAGAGGTATCGGCAACCGAAACTCGGCCTTCTTCAGAATGACACTCGTCTTGTCTCTACAACATCGCCGAAAAGTTATTATGAATGAGCAACGGCTGTGGAAAGCTGGAAAGACATCAACGTTTAATGTGAACCAGGATCCTTCAGTCTCAATAAAAACAGTTACTGTAACAATGTTGACACTGCATCATTTAAGCTGTCTACGTACAGTCTTCTGCTCAGTTAAAGCTTTAACGTTGCTCTTTCACAATACTTTTGAATTTTGATGATTAACTGGTTCTTTGGAGAATGCCCTTCGAACTAAAAATTTCGCACCCTTTATTGGGAACAAGGTACATGCACGTAAAGTGGAAACTGGAGATATATACTGGGGCTTCAATATTGAAATTTGATTGACGTAATTGTGTTTGGGTGTATTGATACAAAATCATGTATGCTATGTATAGCGTTGCAATTCATAAACTAATCCCCAGACCTTTTTTTCCTCAAGAGTACACAGCGCAGCGCTTGTTTCTGTGCAGGATTTTTATATTTTGAAATATTTATAGCAAAATTAGTTCCTATGTTTGAATTTACTTGAATATGCTGAACATTTTACAATTAACCTGAGCTAGCTGCATGAAAGGACGTGTTCGAACATTATCCTCGGTTATCTTGCAGTCCTCTAATATTTTCACGAAGTATTTATATGAAGATACGTTAGCTGTCAATCCGTACGTAATGTCTTTAAAATTTTGAGAAATATTTTCTCCTGTTTATATTTAAAATTTTGAGATATGTAGTTACTCATGCGTAATATTGTATTTTGAAGAACGCTTACGTAAAGATTTGTTTGTGGATACATACATTGCTATAGACTTTTGTACTTATTTTTAAATGTTGAAATAATAGCTTCCTTATATCTCAACATTTTTGTCATTTGTTCACTTGTTCGAAATCTTCGCCAGAACCAAATCTTTTGCTGAACAACAATCACACAGATCCAGGTTGTTATCCATGATCCATTAGGCCAAATTTGGGAATGACATAAGAAAGGTAGGTTTCGAGCTAGTAGGCCATTAATTTGCTAGTCGCTTGACTCAGAGAGGCACGTTGGTTTTCGTACTTCGATCTAGTGTTCTTTTTGCAGATGAACAGATAAATTAACAAAAGGTCCTTGGGCCACAACGCTCAGTCAATATTGCCCTGTTCTTCATGATTAGATTTTTTCCTGTGTATTCTTATGTAAAAATTTTTTATCTCCCATTGTGGCCCCACTCTACCCCCGGGGTCATAATTTGAACAAACTTGAATCTAAATTACCTGAGGATGCTTTCATTTCAATATAACTAATCATGCTTTCTGTTCTTGAGAAGAATGTTTTTAAAGATGTCGTTCTGTATATTCCTGTGTAAAACTTTGATCCTTCATTTTGGCCCCACCCTACCCCCAGGGATCATGATTTAAACAAAATGAATCTACACTACCTAAGGATGCTTCTAAATCAATATGACTAAACATGGCTTTGCTGTTCGTGAGAAGAAGATTTTTAAAGATTTTTCCCCCAATATATTCCTATGTGAAACTTTACTTCCATAAAAACAAGACTAATGGCTTTGCTGTTCTTGAGAAGATTTTTAAAGAATTTTTTCTATATATTCCTAACATTTATATATGTAAAACGATTTCCCTCATTTTGGCCCCGTCCTACCCCTGGGGGTCATGATTTGACAAAATTAATCTATACTACCTGAAGATACTTCCATTTCAATATGACTAATCATGCCTTTGCTGTTCTTGAGAAGAATATTTCTTATATATTCCTATGTAAAACTTTGATCCTTCATTTTGATCCCACCCTACCCCAAAGGGTCATGATTTAAACAAAATGAACCTACACTACCAGAGGATGCTTCCATATCATTATGACTAATCGTGGCTCTGTTGTTCTTGAGAAAATTTTTAAAGATTTATTCCTATGTCAGTCTGATTAAAACCAGCCCCCCTTCTCCTTTCACTCGTCAGGCGAGTGAAAGGAGAAGGGGGGCTGGTTTTAATCAGACTGTTCCTATGTAAAACTTTGATCACCCATTGTGGCCTACCCGATCCCCGAGGGTCACGATTTGAACAAACTTGAATCTACATTACCTAAGGATGCTTCCTTATCAATATTACTAATCAAGACATTGCTTTTCTTCTTCAGAAGATTTTATAAGATTTTTTCCCTATATATACTAATGTAAAACTTTGAGCCTCCATTATGGCCCCTCCCTATTCCCGGGGGTTATAATTTGAATCTAAACTATGTATTAAAGGTTCCACAAAAGTTTTTAGGCCCAGTGTTTCATGAGGAGAAGATTTTTGAAAGATGCCACAATTTTTACACTATTTCTTGATTATCTCCCCCTCCCCTTGAAAGAGGGTATGGCCCTTCCTTTTTTTGAACAAACTAGAATCACCTTTACCCAAAGCTCACTTTGAGGTAGAAAATCTATCGATGAATCGGGTTCTAATGATAAAGGAAAAGGAAATAATTTCGCGATATTGTGTTTTGATTTGCTAAATGTGTCTTGAAATATGGCTAAATGAGTCATTTGGTACAAAATGTTACTTTTTTACAGACTATAAATTTGGTATCTCTGGTTCATCGCTCCACGATATGAAATAAAACTTAATTTTTCTGTGCGTTTTAATACCTGAGGAATCTAAATAGTGTATTCATTTATCAGTTTTATTTATTTATTTTTTTAAATAAAGTTAAATTTTGAATCCGTTGCATCGAAAGCTCATTTTTGAGAAGATTAAAAAAGTATATATAAGTGAGAAAACTTTTGTCATTCTTATTCATATATTGCTGTTAAATTTTCTCGCAATAACGAGAAAACTGTCGAGTTAGCTGAGTTAGAACGAGATAAGTATAACTTTTTATATTATAGAGAGATACTTATCTCGTTTTAAGGAGTTAGTTAACTCGTTATAACGAATTAAATATTTTTTCACCTTATCAGAAAGAAGTGTATCCGGCTTTCGCCAAAAAAATAATTCTTCCGACCCGATGAAATTTTACTGAATACCTGTGGATTACACGCCAGATACGCCCATAATCTTTCTGGAAGTCGTAATTAGATAGGAATATTTGATATTTGTTTGTGTGGTTTACTCATTGGCACGAGTTAATCGTAGAACGGCTTATCGAACAATTTCTAGTACCCTTCCCTTGATTCCAGTCTTGCCAGGGTACGAGTTTAGAGAACTTTAACTGACGTAATACACGTGAATTTTGAGCATGTTGAAGGTGTTCTCGTTTCCTTTCTCCAAAACTCTTCAGATAGCAAGACTTGGTCAAGGATTGTTGGAAAACAAGTATGTTATTTTTTTAATTCATTATTTCTATGAAAAGTCTGCGCATTGAAGTGTCTTCATCATATTATATAGTCAGAATTTCCTCTACACTTACGAAACTACTCTCCAATAATTGGGATTAGACTATCAGTATGCATTGCATGGGTGATCTATAAAGATTTCACAACTTATGAAAAACATATGAATATTTTGAATCTCTTTATTAAAATCTTTTGTTTAGTTATTCATGGAAATTCATTTGCCAGTTGGGTTGACCTTGCCATGCCATGTAGACTGGTACAATCAGTACATTTAGCTAGTAGCTACGTAGCTTGAATTACCTACATAGCTTTATTTACCTACCTGAATTAGCTTTATTTAGCTACTAAATCAAGCTTTTTTCTAAAATTAGCTTTTTTCTCAGGATGTGCAGAAAATCGCACTTTGATGCAGTGATAATTTTCAACTTTTAGCTAATCTGAAAACAATTCATGAAAAATTCACTCTTGAAAATGTGTCTTTTTCTGCACAATTGCAGTCAAAGTTCTAAAAAAAAAATTAGGGCTATATACAACAGTTAATTTGTGATCAAACAGTTACTTCTTGAATTGAATAACAAAGAAGATCAGTTCCGGCCTCACCACACACAAAGTGGTATATGGTTATTCAAACAATAAAAATACATCTTTTGCTTAAAAGTGTTCAAATGCAGCAATGTTTTAACTATCTCTGCTTTGGATTGCTTTTTTAAATATCCCTAGTATAAATATTAGTAGTCATACACTTGCAATTTTTTGTCTTTTTAAAATAAAAAGCAAAATTGTGAAAAGTTGCATTGAAATAGCTAAATAAAGCTACCTGAGGTAGCTAAATAAAGCTATGGTAAGTAATTCTACCTACGTAGCTAAATGTACTGATTGTACTGGACCTGGTAGTCTACTGGTATATAAAGCAAATGTATAGATACCGGACTTATTCTTTTGTTAAACAGGTCGGCATCAGAGAGAATTTTTTTTCTCCATTTTTCTCAATTTCTTTGATCATCAAATGACAGTCACTTCAGTTTTATGTACAGATGTTAAACTTTTGTCTAGATTTTATTTTTGATCGCATACTCTCAAAAAAATTCAAATTTAAAAGGTAATTTCAATCTTGATTTTTTTTTTACAGTACAAAAATTAAAAATGTTTTGAAAGTTTAATATTCAAACAATGTCATATCTAAATGCTTTTTCTTAGAGATTTTTCTACTTTTATATCACATATGGTAAGCAACTGTGTTACCAAGCATTATTCATATACTGATGAAGTCCAATCTTGCAATACAAAAAAAATGCACCAGCTCAAAAGGAGATGCCGCTGATTTAGGAACCCCACTGACTCAGGATCCTACATGATAAGTTTACATCTGGTATAATGACAGTTAGTTATATAGCTGTATAGGATGTTGGCTTAGATTGTTTTCAGATACAGACAGCTACAGAGATGAACAATAAATATTTGGGATTTTTTTTTCTGAGTGATCTCAACTTTGTTTATGACAATATCAGATGTGTTAGTTCTATTTCTATATTAGCTGCTTACTGTAAGTTGTTCATTTTAAATTACAGATGTTTTGAAAAAGCAGGAAACTCCCTGAGAAGATTTTCAGTGTGTTCAATTCTACAGGATGATAAAGGAAGTTTAGATAAATTGCTCCAAGCCAGGAGTACCAGAAACAGAACAGATAAGTACAGGTGCTTATAGAGCAGTACATGTATTGCAGTTATCCTGATGCTTTATTATATGCTTTTAATCAAAAATAAAAAGATCACAAGAAAATTAAAATGATTTCCTTTGTGTTAGAACAAACAGAAGTGAAGACTACTTCATTGGTAATGGTGTCAGGAGAAATGTAGGATATGGGGATTCCTGGAATGATTTTCTTGGTGATACACCAAAAGAAAAACAAGAGTTTACTGAATTGGAGAAAAACTTCTATTTGGAGCATGAAGCTGTCAGAGACATGACAGAGGTAATATTTACTATTGTACTTCATGAAGTTTGTTGCTGTGACACTTTCTGCTTTACATTTCATAGATAGAGAATAAGTTAATTTGTGAAGAGACATGAGAGAAGTACAAATGACCTTCAAAATCCTGGATAAATTGGATCCAGGGTATTGGAAAGGGGCGGGGGGTCGATAAAACTCTAAGCAATTTTTTTAGAATTTTGAAAAAATTGAAAAAGGACTTCTAATTTGCATTTAATGCAGGGAGGAGGAGAAGGAAATTGATGGATGAAGCCCCATGAAGGCTTGTCGTTTTCCAAAGTTCTGACAATCTGGCATAAAAACATACATTGATATTCAGTTCTGATTTCAAATTTTCTTAATGGTGGTCCAAAAATCTTAAATGTTTTGAAAGTTGAAATTCCATCTTTTAAATGTTAGAATTCTTTGAAAAGTAAGATTTTTGGTTCCTAGTGATAATTCTGCAGTAATGACACATTCACTGATTTGTGCTTATTTTCAACAGGAGGAGGTCAAGATATTCCATGAAAGACATAATGTAAAGGTGTACGGGGATGTTCCTAACCCTGTGTTAGATTTGGATCATGTTAACTTTCCAGGTTTGTAGCTATACATTCTCAATTTTTCCCACACGTTCACTAAAAGTGTTTTAGCTGTATCATTACACCTCTAGTCACAAGTGATAAGAATATAAAACAATGTTACCAATACTTCTTTCAGAGGAAATAAAGACAACGCTTGCAAAGCATGGAATTACTACTCCTACAGCGATACAATCTCTGACATGGCCTATTGCTTTATCGGGACTCGACAGTGTAGGGATTGCACAAACTGGGTCAGGGAAAACACTGGGGGTAACTAAGTCTGAATTTCTTTATATTTTATAATTGAATCCCTTTTTTTGCTTTACCTATTTTATTACTTTGTATAAATGAAACATGATGATATTTTACAACATGTTTCAGTTCATGTTACCAGCAGTAGTGCATACACTGAATCAGAAAACAACCAAACAAAGGTTTCCAAGACGACCTAGGGTAAGTAATGGCTACCATAATGTGACAGTGTTCTCAATGAATTCAAATAAACAAATCAGTTATATATAACATCTACAAAACCTTTTTTTTTGGATTGAGTACTGGTATATATACATTTGTGATTCAGATATTCTTCCAAGGAAAAACATGCATTCAAAGAAATAACATGAACATGAGCTTTTTCAGTCTTTAAAGGCTAAATATTACTGCAGATTTTATATAACATTTTTTACTATTTATGAAAGGTACTGATTTTGGCACCAACAAGAGAGCTGACTCAACAAATTGCCTCAGTCTCCTTCCCATACTGTAAGCCATTTAATCTAAGGACTGGTTGCTTGTATGGTGGATCCTCCAAGTCAAAACAAATGCAGGAAATTTTAGGTCTGTCCCAGCATACTAATGAACACTGTACAAAACAATGTATGTATATGTAAATAAACACATTTGTACCAGCGTACAGATGCACACTGTGCAATACAATATATGTATACTGTGGAATCATCATTGTTTATGGGGGACCAATGTTTGTGGATTTCGTGGGTCACCCTTACCCACGAATTTACATCCCCCACAAACTTTTATTTTGTAAACATATTGACTCTTTGAATCTATCGTATAAACAAGTAACAAAATTACCTTCCCACAAACAAGTAAAATTTTGCTTGCCCACAAACATTGACCCCCACAAATTAAAATGATTCCACAGTATGTCGATAAACACATCCGTTTCAGCGTACGTATGAACACTGTACAATACAATATATATTTATGTAAATAAACACATCTGTACCAGCATATTAATGAACTTTTTACAATTTATAAACACTACAATTATTTGCTGTCCTAGCATACTTCTGAAAACTATACAATATATGTAAATAAACACATGCATCCTAGAATATTACTGAATTCTATACCAAAATTATGTGAACTGTACAATTACTCTGTCCCAGTGTATTATTGAACTGTACAATATATAAACACTGTACAATAACCCTGTCCCAGCATATTATTGAACTATATATACAATATATTAACACTTTAATTATGCTGTCCCAGCATATTACTGAACTCTGAACAATACTCTCTCCCAGTGTATTACTGAACTATATACAATACATGAATAAGTCGGTTACAGTACATGAACAATAAATGAATAAGTCAGTTGCTTTTTCCCAGCATACATGATACTGTGATGAAATAACATAATTTTATATTACAAATGTTACATGTATAACCTTATTTTATATTTAAGGTAACCTAAGTATTTTTACATTATGTATGACCTGAATATGTTTTCCTTGACAGGTGACTCTAATATTATTGTTTCACATTGCAGGTGATGCAAATGGTTATTATTTACATGTAGATGATCCTGATATGAATGATTTACATTATAGTTGGTATATTATCTTTAATTACAGGTGGTCTAGATATCATTGTTGCTACACCGGGAAGGCTGTTAGATATTCTGAGGGAACAGACCATGTTGTTAGAAGATGTGTCATACTTAGTGCTGGATGAGGCGGACAGAATGTTGGACATGGGGTTTGAACCTCAGATTAGGAACATTATGAAATATTTAAGTGTAAGACTGAGAGTTAATCGTTTACAAATGTTTCAGTATTCTTCCATGTAGTACATGTACTTAAATATTTAGACTTTGAAATAACATTTTTGATGACATTTGGGAGGGAATGGAAGAAAATTATGATTTCAATACATTTAACCTCTCTAATTATCTGTGAATTAACATTGCTGTGAGCATTTATAGACACAGACCCTATGTATTTTTACAGCCATTCAGACAGACGACAATGTGGAGTGCTACTTGGCCTATAGAAGTGAAAAATCTTGCCCAGGACTTCATGTCTAATAATGTACAAGTTCGTTTGGGCCATTATGACTTAACCATTAATAAAAATATCAATCAAAAGGTGATCTTGGTTGATGATGAAAACGATAAACTATACAAGTAAGATTTTCTTTCGATTTTGTAACTTTTTAAAGCTAAGAATGTCTTTCTTTTCAAAATAACCCCCTTTTTTTAGGTCACCTGAGTCACTCAGGTGACCTATTGCTATCTGTTTTCGTCCGTCGTCGTGCAGGTGTGCTTCGTGCGTAAACTTTTCACATTTTCGACTTCTTCTCAAGAACAACTGGGCCAATTTCCACTAAACTTGCCACAAACTATTCTTGGGTAAAGATGATTCAAGTTTGTTCAAATGAAGGGCCACGCCTTCTTCCAAGGGGAGATAATTAAGAATTAGTGAAAAATTAATGGTATCTTTTAAAAATCTTCTTCTCAAGAACCACTGGACCAGGTAAGATGAAACTTATATGGAAACATCCTCAGGTAGTGTAGACTCAAATTTGTTAAAATCATGACCCCCAGGGGTAGGGATGGACCACAATGGACGATCAAATTTTTACATAGAGATATATAGGAAAAATCTTTAAAAATCTTCTTCTCAGGAACAGCTAAGCCCTGATTGGTCATATTTATATGGAAGCATCCTCAGGTAGTGTAGATTCAAGTTTTTTTCAAATTATGACCCCCGGGGCTAGGGCAGGGCCACAATGGATGATCAAAGTTTACATAGAAATATATAGGAAAAATCTTTAAAAATCTTCTTCTCAAGAACAGCAAAGTCGTGATGAGTCATATTTATATGGAAACATCCTCAGGTAGTGTAGATTCAAGTTTGTTCAAATCATGATCCCCGGGGGTAGGGCGGGGCCACAATGGACGATTAAAGTTTTACATAGAGATATATAGGAAAATCTTTAAAAATCTTCTTCTCAGAAACAGCTAAGCCCTGATTGGTCATATTTATATGGAAGCATCCTCAGGTAGTGTAGATTCAAGTTTGTTCAAATCATGACCCCCGGGGGTAGAGCAGGGCCACATTGGATGATCAAAATTTACGTAGACATATATAGGAAAAATCTTTAAAAAATCTTCTCAAGAACAGCAAAGTCGTGATGAGTCATATTTATATGGAAGCATCCTCAGGTAGTGTAGACTCAAGTTTGTTCAAATCATGACCCCTGGGAGTAGGGCGGGGCCACAATGGATGATCAAAGTTTACATAGAAATATATAGGAAAAATCTTTAAAAATCTTCTTCTCAAGGACAGCAAAGTTGTGATGAGTCATATTTATATGGAAGCATCCTCAGGTAGTGTAGATTCAAGTTTGTTCAAATCATGACCCCCGGGGGTAGGGCGGGGCCACAATGGATGATCAAAGTTTACATAGAAATATATAGGAAAAATCTTTAAAAATCTTCTTCTCAAGAACCGCAAAGTGGTGATGAGTCATATTTATATGGAAGCATCCTCAGGTAGTGTAGATTCAAGTTTGTTCAAATCATGACCCCCCGGCGTAGGACAGGGCCACAATGGATAATCAAAGTTTACATAGAATATATAGGAAAAATCTTTAAAAATCTTCTCAAGAACAGCAAAGTCGTGATGAGTCATATTTATTTGGAAGCATCCTCAGGTAGTGTAGATTCAAGTTTGTTCAAATCATGACCCCCGGGAGTAGGGTGGGGCCACAATGGACGATCAAAGTTTTACATAGAAATATATAGGAAAAATCTTTTAAAATCTTTTTCTCAGGAACAGCAAAGCCATGATTGGTCATATTTACATGGAAACATCAGGTAGTATAGATTCAAGTTTGTTCAAATCATGACTCTGGACTCTAGGGATTGGGTGGGGCCACAATGGACGATCAAATATTTACAAAAGCTCCTTCTATCAGTTTATTTTATACTCTATGGATCTTCTATGGATTGTTGTTTTATACTCAGGTGACCGTTAAGGCCCTTGGGCCTCTTGTTATTGAGATGCACATGAAGGCAAAATTGTAATGAAAATAAAGGATTAGTTGTACATGTACACATAAAGTGTGGATTTTATTTTTCTGTAGATTTGTGGATGAAATGAAGCCAGTCTTAAGTGAGCCAAATGCTAAAGTTCTTATGTTCACCAACACCAAAGCAAAGGCAGATAATCTAGCATTTAAGTTACAAAAAGCTCTCAGGTAGGTAAAATTGAAGTTGAGGAGATAACCTGAAATGTCTACAGGTTTGCAAGGGTGATAAACTGGCTCAGGAGCCTAAAAACTCAGATGAACTTGCTTCTGAACTCAATTTCACTTTTACCCAAGGAATTTATATTGCGAAAGTGAGACTGAGAACGAAAGTGAGCTCATCTAAGTTTTATGGCCCTGGCCCCGGGTCATAAAACTTAGACGAGCTCACTTTTGATCTCAGTCTCACCTTAACCAAAGGAATTAATAGTGAAAAAGTGAGACTGAGATCAAAAGTGAGCTCGTCTAAGTTTTATGGCCCTGGAGCCTAGTATTCAAGTTACAAAAAACACAGGAAGCTGAAAGTAGGTAAGCTGACATTGAAGTATAGAAAGTTCAGGTATGGAGGATAACAGGTAAAAAATTATAAGATTATAATTAAGGACCCTCTATACACTGCTTACTGAAGAGTTCCAATTTAATGGTGCTTCCAAGCAGTAAGAGTGATATGCTCATTGATTTAAAATTGAATAAACTAAAATCTATGGACAATGATTTCTTTTCATCAATACTTTGTTATCTTTGAACATTTTTCCTTGGGGACAATAACAGGTACCCTATGCTGAAAATGATAAGATCAATTCAATATTTTTATCTTTATATGACATTTTTTTCTGCCCCCCCCCCCCCCCCCAAAAAAAATTCAATAGTATATAGAGGGTCCTTAAGAAACCACTGTATTTGATTATAGAGACTGGAATTCTGTATACATGATTGATTGTGAAAATAATCTGTTTCAGGAAGAAGATAGTAGCCATACATGGGGATATTGGTCAGTTTGGTAGAGACAGGGCACTGAAAGGTTAGTGCTAGATGTACAGGAAATCAACCTTGTGATAATGAAATGAAGCACTTGTTTTACATAATGATTTTTTTGGTATTCAGATTTCAGGCTTGGAATGGTACCGATCCTAGTGGCTACCGATGTAGCAGCAAGAGGGATAGGTATGTGTATGTTTAGTGTATGCTGTGTTTTTTAAAAAATAGGTAACAATTAAAATGATAATTACTTTTAAGCAAACATATGAGCACCATGTTTATTTATATCAATTGTCTGTTAATCATTCTTGGGAAATTGTACCGACCTGTTAATTATTGGTCATCAATAGGAATTCCTTCATAGATTCTGTCTGGACCTGCTCTTGAATTGGTTTTATGACTTTTACAGATGTTACAGATATTACACATGTAGTGAACTTTGATTTTCCACGAGATTTGACGGATTATGTCCACAGAGTGGGACGTACTGGACGAGCAGGCCGGAAAGGCGAAGCTATCTCATTTTTCTGTCTGCATGAACAACCTAATATAGTGAACAAACTTGTAAATATACTTAAAGAGAGTGGACAAGATATTCCTGAAGAGTTAATGGAAGGTACATTGTTTGCTTTCAGTAAAGTATGTTTATAGTGCATGGTTTTACTTGCAGTGAAAATTAAGTGACATTTTTTAAAATGCTTTTCATCATTCAAAACAGGTTTTGAATAAAATTAGAGGTTTTATCTTCACAATCACTACTCAAGGATAAATAACACAAACAACTTCTTTCCAGAAATCAGCAATATTTCTCATAGATTTATATTCAAATATTTAATCTGAACAATTTTTGCCAGATAAAGTAGAGGATTTTGTAAGATTTTGTCAAAATGCTAAAAATGTGTGCAAAATGTCGTATAGAATTTACATAAAACACCACACAGTCATATATCTAAGGACCAAAGAAAGCTTATGATTCTTTATAGTTCAGGGAATTATTATTTATGTCATTGCTTTTCAAAATCAGTCAAAAAGTATGCATCAATCCATGCATCAAATTTTTGTTTGTGTTGTGTATCTTTAAGTTTGAAGTTTAGATCAACATTGTGTTGTTTTATAAAAATATCACTAGGTCCATCAACACTGTCACCGTCAGAATGTGTCTGCATGATAGATTAACAATGGGCTGTCAAATTCCCATTAGGTACCTCTACTTGGTCCTTTTATAAGGAGTAGGGATATACATTTTTTTTTTTTTTTTTTTTGCAATAGCAAATATAGATACTTAAAATTTCAGGACTGTTTGGGTTCTATATGTATCTCAGAACAGGAGAGAACTCAAATACACTTAACCCACTACCCAGTTTAATTCAATGTATGTTTATATACTGAACAAAATATGGTTTGATTTGAAAAAAAAAAAATAATGGATTGTTCATCTTATTTTGAATAAATGTCAAGTTACTAGGAATTCATAAATATATAATCATTTTATTTTTTTTATAATTTGATTTCCACATTTTGAGTTTAAAAATTTAAACCAGTGTTATATGATTTTAAAGATAGATTTGTTCTCAATGGAAGACCTGAAGTAGAAATTAGCTTTCTTATTTCAGCTGCTCAAGCAAGCAAATATTCAAGAAACTATGAATCTAGTAGACGATATGGCAGTAGTAGATTTGGAGGAAGTCGACACAATGACAGTAGATATGGAAGCGGGAGACAGCGAGGTAGTGGATTCAGTAGAAATGACAGAACTAGATATCAGAGGGACAACAGATGGACAAATTATGATGAATGATATCAGATGTAATTAGGATAACAAATTAATGAGGTAAATGTTTAAACCTTTTCAGATTACCTGAGGTGGGCTGAGGTTAAACGTTTTGATACCTTAATTCGTTCCAGTTTAAACCTTAAATTTTATCCCAGTGCATTTGTAATGCAATTTTCTAAAGTCGTTTAATTAATTTTTGAGTGTACAAGTATGCATCTCATTATCATTCTAACATTTACTAAGGTTGCCACAAGGATATATTATCACTAGTTGTCTGTCTACAAAATTTCATTTTTTTTTCATAGTATGTATTTTTATTGTTTTACTATAATATTCAAGTTTAATAGTGCAGATTCATAACATAAGGTTCATTAGTCCACTGATAAGAGAGATAACTTTAACAGGGATATAAATGACTAATGCAGTTTTATAAAATTGTCAAGTTAAAAGGCCATTTTTGTCAAACTTTGCCTCATAAGGTATTCTGAAATTCTGTACATTTTAATTATAGAGTAGTTTTTTTTTTAAACTCAATAGCATCAAAGCAAAATTGTATATGAATGAACAGGAGGATGAACCCTGATGAACATGAACAGTCAAAGAGAGATAACTCTGAAAAATTCTTATAACAAGCTGTGTAGAAAAGGATAGAGTCTCCTTAGATTAATTGTATTGGCTGCTGCAGAAGATAAGGGGCCTTAGTAAATTTCTCTCACATGTAGCTTAAATAACACTTCCATTGGTCTGAATTGTTTGCATTCACTAAAGGATGACACTTCATAAATTGCATACTTCATTTTGGTTGAAATACATATTTGAAAGAATTATAATTCTAAAGAAAGTTTTAAAAAATATATAAGTTAAGATATGATTTTATTTTTATTTCTGTTCATTTTTCACCAATAAAAGCTAGGATGGTTACATCACTGCAATCATTTTATGCCCTGTGTGGCATATTGTGTTTGATATGTCCATTTCCATTTATCTGTTTGTCCATCTATCACACTTTGCATTTAGCTCAGTTTCAAAGACACTGATAAATTATTGGTGAGAGTCATTCAACTGTAACAAACTGTTTGCCCTTGGCCTTCCTTATGACCTCACTTTTCTCAAATTTGTGTTTAGCTCAGTTTCAAAGAAACTATTCAAGATATTTTTATCAACACTCATACAATGATACGCATTGATGAATATTGTTTTAATTGTGTCCAAATATCTGATCTTGACACTCCCTATAACCTTGACTGTACTATTCCTCAATTTATATTTAGCTTAGTTACAAAGAAACCATTCAAGATATTTTTTTTTCAAAACCTGTTTACAGATACATATTCAAAGAACTTTTCAAATTGAGTTCAAGTTTTCTGACCTTGACCTTCTCTATAACCTTGACCTTACTATTTACCTTATTTTCATAGTAAAAAATATGTCCTTTTTCAGGTCTTGAGGCTCAATTCTTTACAAGACTATAAAAGCATGTGGGCTCAAAATTTAATGCATGGATTTCCATGATTAGTTTACAAGGCTCACCGACATCAAGAAGAAATGAGAATCAAACCTGGATCTTGCTGTTTTGTGTATTGAAATCTAGACACATCACAATGAATGCCAGATGTTATGAATGTTTGCCACTACCACTCTAGATGAAATGATTCATCGCTAAAAATACCAGGCATCAGCTGGTCAAGTTGAAAATCCTAATGATCTGATATATTATTTAGTACATTGTATGTCAGAATGCTATTTCTGTGATATATTTTTTAATTCCATGCATCTGAAAAATAAGCCATGAATTGCTCAGAAGAGCTACATTTATCTCTTGATTGACTGTAAAAAATAAATTACCTAAAAAATATTTGCTACTAGATTTTAGGTATCTCGCAACCATTTTTTTTTTGCTATTGATGCAAGATATATTTGTAGTCTTTGATCAGTTTAAGTTTTTACAATATAACATGTATCTGAAATCATTGTATGAATTAAATTGTATGTGAAACCCTCATATTTTGTGTAGTGAATGTCTGATGAACTAGGTAATTACAACATGGGCATCTACATTTCACAGCATGTCCCATTTTGCCTCAACAAATACACCACTTTTACATGTATGTGTACATCTTAGTCAAGATGAAATTAAATGTAGCAAATGCAATTCCACTGACTTGTGATTACTGCCTAAAGACTTGTTCTGTTATTGGTAGAATATTTTAATCCCTGCTTCCCCACATATTTTATAATGTGGCACTGTAAACAGTAGATCTGTCCAAATTCCCTCTACCAAGTACATGTACTATGCCAACCTCCATCGACTTGTTCTTAATTGTAACAATTTCATGTTTAATGGTGAACATTATCTGGAAGTCAGTGCCACTGCTATGGGAACTAAAATGGCTTCAACTTGTGCAGGTATTTTTATGGGTGGTTTGAATCATTGTTTAGGCCCCTCAGATGGATGTTTCAGTAAATACAGAGGTGAAGTGGGAGGAGAGCTGTGACAGTCTCAAAGCATTTCTTTTGCCGACTTTCTCCATTAATCAATCAAGTTTACTATAGAAATATCCAATGTATTGTAGATATATAGGTTTATTAGTTGTAGTGTTAGACCTGTTCTTCATTTGTTTATGTACTGTAAACCCAGTATTATTCGTGACATCTTTTATTCGCAATTCTTCAGTTTGGAATCCATCCGCGACTTCCAATTTTCACAACCAAGGCAACATTTTACATAAATTCATCTGGGTAAATAATTGGTTTGTGACGAGAAATATTCGCAAGTAAAAGAAGATTGCAAAACTCACGAATATTTCTTGCTCACAAATAAAGATTGGTTTACAGTAATTCTAACCTTTTTTTTTGGTCCTGAGAGTGACAGAATATGTTCTTTTTAAAATTTCCTTGTCATTGGCCATTTTCAGTGCTTTATACACATTCCAATTCATGGTGACGTATCTATCAAGCACATGCAACACAGAATATACTGTGTTGTTGGTTTTCTATTGCTTAATTTTTGTGTTGTCATGAAGAATTGCTTGTTAGAGATGTAGTAAAATCTTCTTTTATAAAATTGTTTAAGCCTTACCTTGACAAGAAAACTTATAATTTTTTTTACAATTTGATAAAAAGCCATGATTGTTATGATCAGAAAGCTACAAACTAATATAAAAAAATAAACACATAAGTGACATTACAACATTTTATTTTCATCTGTCGACACTGAACATTAATGACATAAGGTACTGAATTTACTAAAGTATGTCCCTGTTATTACACAGTATGCTGTCAGTTCATATTAATGCACTGTATGCTGTCCCTCTACTGTCCGCAGTCTTAAGAGGAAGTTTTTCCAGCTCCTGAACTAACTAATTTCAAATTTCTGGTTATCTATAAATTATAAAAAAAAAAAAAATTATTAATAAAAAAAAAATTATTAAACAACATGGAAAATTGCAGTTTTCAATTATTGCTAAATGAAAGTAACAATGCATTGATACAGAACAAATACATCTAATACACGGCACCCAGCAATCACAATTTCACTCACATAAGTGATAAACAAACTTTAAGGTACATACGAGGGGTTATCAAAAAGTTCCTGGACTAGGGCCATAAAATTAAAACCGCTAAAGGTAATTCAATGGATTTTAAAATATTTAATTACCATCATATTTTTTTTCTATATAATAAAATACATTTGTATAAATCATAAGTTTTATTTTTTAATAAATTGTTGATGTTTTATAAGCAATGGCGCAACCTCAAAGGTTTTATTTCTTCCGAGTGTATTAACTGAGACAAGAGGCCCATGGGCCACATCGCTCACCTGAGCACATTGGGTAGACTAAGGCACAAATCAGTTCAGTAATGAATGGGGGGGGGGGGTGTTTAATTTTAAACTACCTGATGATGCTTCCATGTCAATATAACAAATGAATTTGTTGTACTTGAGAAGATTTTAAAAGAATTTTCCCATTTATTTCTTTGTAAAAATTTGATCCACCATTGTAGCTCCACCCTATCTCAGGGGTCATCATTTGAACAAACTTGAATCTGCATTTCCTGAGGATGCTTCCATATCAATAAGACTAACATAGGTTTTCTGTTCTTGAGAAGAAATTTTTTTTCTATATGTTCTTATGTAAAACTTTCGATCCCCCATTGGGCCCCACCCTACCCCCGGAGGTCACCATTTGAACAAAATTGAATCTACACTTCCTGAGGATGCTTCCATATAAATATGACTCATCATGGATTTACTGTTCTTGAAAAGAAGATTTTTAAAGATTTTTTCTTATATATTTCTATGTAAAGCTTTGATCCTCCATTGTGGCCCCGCCCTACCCCCGGGGGTCATGATTTGAACAAACTTGAATCTACACTACCTGAGGATGCTTCCATATAAATATGACTCTTCATGGCTTTACTGTTCTTGAGAAGCAGATTTTTAAAGATTTTTCCTATATATTTCTATGTAAAGCTTTGATCCTCCATTGTGGCCCCGCCCTACCCCCAGGGGTCATGATTTGAACAAACTTGAATCTACACTACCTGAGGATGCTTCCATTTAAATATGACTCTTCATGGCTTTACTGTTCTTGAAAAGAAGATTTTTAAAGATTTTTCGTATATATTTCTATGTAAAACTTTGATCCTCCATTGTGGCCCCGCCCTACCCCCGAGGGTCATGATTTGAACAAACTTGAATCTACACTACCTGAGGATGCTTCCATATAAATATGACTCTTCATGGCTTTACTGTTCTTGAGAAGAAGATTTTTAAAGATTTTTCCTATATATTTCTATGTAAAGCTTTGATCCTCCATTGTGGCCCCGCCCTACCCCCGGGGATCATGATTTGAACAAAATTGAATTTACACTTCCTGAGGATGCTTCCACTTAAATATGACTCTTCATGGCTTTACTGTTCTTGAGAAGAAGATTTTTAAAGATTTTTCCTATATATTTCTATGTAAAACTTTGATCCTCCATTGGGCCCCACCCTACCCCCGGGGGTCATGATTTGAACAAACTTGAATCTACACTACCTGAGGATGCTTCCATATAAATATGACTCTTCATGGCTTTACTGTTCTTGAGAAGAAAATTTTTAAAGATTTTTCCTATATATTTCTATGTAAAACTTTGATCCTCCATTGTGGCCCCGCCCTACCCCGGGGGTCATGATTTGAACAAACTTGAATCTACACTACCTGGGGATGCTTCCATATGAGTTTCATCTTTCCTGGCCCTGTGGTTCTTGAGAAGAAGATTTTTAAAAGATACTATTCATTTTTCACTAATTCTTAATTATCTCCCCTTGAAAGAGGGTGTAGCCCTTCAATTGAACAAACTTGAATCCCCTTCACCCAAGGATACTTTGTGGCAAGTTTGGTTGAAATTTGCCCAGTGGTTCTGGAGAAGAAGTTGAAAATGTGACAAGTTTACAGACAGAAGGACAGACAGACAGACGGACTACAGACAAAATGTGATCAGAAAAGCTCACTTGAGCTTTCAGCTCAGGTGAGCTAAAAAACTCTTTTGATACGAGCATTTGTCATCCAAATATACCATTAATTCACTAATGTGGTATGACACGATTTCTATGTAAAATTTTCAATTTTTACCCCATTCTGTAAGTTCTATGAAATTTTATTGTAAATTTTATATGAAATGTCCAAAGAAGTAACGGCTGTAATGACATCAAAAAGGGGGAAGGGGTTTCTTTTTCCATCATTCTATAAAGTTTCACCCCAGGAAAAACTGGCATAGACCTAGGAAATTTTTTAACGGGCTACAGATAAATAAAATGCATCCAGAGTATTTTTTTTTTAATGCTGAAAAAGATTAGAGAGATGAAAGATGTACAGTTAATGTCGATTTGTAGTCAGGGTGTTCAAAGTTTGTCGAAAAGCGACGTTGATCATGTGTGATAGATATTGAACTCCGACAAGCAAATTATGCTGTTATAATCAAGTGAGGATCTTTCACTATGTATAGAATCCGCTCACAATATCATATGCATTGAATCAGCTGTTCATGACGTTGTAAAGTCATATAAACAAGACAGGCTTAAGTCTTTACTTAACTCCAGGGAACGTCATCAAGATAAGTGTATAGGGTATAGGGAGCGGACGTTGAGAAACAATGACGTCAGACATCGTGAAACTAAACAGCGACATCTCGTATAATGTCTTTTTTATTTTATGGTAATTTGGCAAATTATCAACGTATTAAGCTAAAATTTTCAACACTTCTTGAACTTCTGTTGTTTTATATTTCTTATAAATTTTGTAAGCAAAGACTACATAGTATTAATTTTATCGCATCAGTCCATGAACTTTTTGATAACCCCTCATATATACATGTATACTATGTGATGGGTGTTGGCACAATAGAGTAATTGTACATACCCACTGGTCTTGAAAAGAAGATTTCAAAAAGATTTTCCTAATATACTGTATGTAGGGAAAATTTTTGCCCCTTGGCCTTGCTGCAAGTGAGTGAATTTACGGACGGATAGATGCCAGACAATGGGTGATCAGAAAAGCTCAGTTGAGCTATCAATCAGGTGAGCTAAAACTAAGAAATTTCACCAAACATAACAAATAGACAACATACAAATTTTTATCAGCAAAAGTCACCTTAAGCCTTTGACTCAAGTGAGGTAAAAATGATGCCTACCTCTTCAAACTTATGAATCTGTCGTATGAAGAAATCTCCATATCTTCTGGCAACTTTTGTATCAGCAATATGGATCATGTCCTAAACAGCATAGGAAGAAATATAACTCATTAACTTGTGTAAAAACAGTATATCATGCAAAATTATGAAGTTTTGATCACTTCAGCCAATATTCTGAATATAAAGTACAAGCAAGTTTGAAACCATAGACAATAGAAGCCAAAAGTGTTGAGTTAAATGGACAAAATCAACAATTTTCAATTCACCTGATTGATAATTACACAGTATATTTCCTAAGTACAGAGTTCCTTTTAGACTTTCACCTTGTGTATACTGACCTTGTCAATGTAGAAGTCCACTTCTGATGCAGACTGGAACTCACCCTCCAAGCCACTGGTTCCCTTTGTCCACACAACATTCTTCATTTTATGCTGTATTAAAAATATACCAGAAGCCCATACATTACAAAGCTGGGACTTATTATTACAAAGAAATGCAAGTGTCTCAGTTATCTAATACTTATTATTGAAACATACCTTAAAGCACATCAGGTGAGTTTTCAGTTCATCCTCACTCTTAAAAAAAAATTGAATTCTAATTAGCCTGTTAAATGTTACTTTTTGTATTATATATTTATTTTCTATTTTTGAATTTGACATATATATCTGTTGGAGCATGACAAGCACATCTCTTACATTATAAGCACTGGGGTATAGCTACACTTACCATGTCCATAAAGATGGCCAGTTTTGACAAGGGTAAGGTGGTATACAGCTTCAGGTAACTACAATAGAATGACTCAGGTAAATCAGGAAATTGATACAACTAATATTTAGAAGATGATCACTATGTCATCTCCCTGCTGAAAGACAGAGTGTTTCAGAAGTTCAAATGAGGCAAGGTATGATAGAATAGGAAATTACAAATCATTCATGATAATTAAATTCAAAAGATTGTACTCATTTGTAAATAAAGTTTTCCCCAATTATAATGGAAAGCTTATTCTAAAGGTTTAAAATAAAACTACGATATACAACTTGAGAACAACTAGGAATTTTGATGAATACACAATGACAGGTCAGTGATTTACAGTACCTCCAGATGAAAATACAGTAACAGGTCAGTGATTTACGGGACCTCCTGATGACAATACAGTCACAGGTCAGTGATTTACGGGACCTCCTGATGACAATACAGTCACAGGTCAGTGATTTACAGGACCTCCTGATGACAATACAGTAACAGGTCAGTGATTTACGGGACCTCCTCAATAATACAGACACAGGTCAGTGATTTACGGGACCTCCTGATGACAATACAGACACAGGTATGGGAACCTCCTGATGACAATACAGACACAGGTCAGTGATTTACGGGACCTCCTGATGACAATACAGTCACAGGTCAGTGATTTACAGTACCTCCAGATGACAATACAGTCACAGGTCAGTGATTTACGGGACCTCCAGATGACAATACAGTCACAGGTCAGTGATTTACGGGACCTCCTGATGACAATACAGTCACAGGTCAGTGATTTACGGGACCTCCTGATGACAATACAGTCACAGGTCAGTGATTTACGGGACCTCCTGATGACAATACAGGCACAGGTCAGTGATTTAAGGGACCTCCTGATGACAATAGAGTCACAGGTCAGTGATTTACGGAACCTCCTGATGACAATAAAATCACAGGTCAGTGATTTACGGGACCTCTTGATGACAATACAGTCACAGGTCAGTGATTTACGGGACCTCCTGATGACAATACAGTCATAGGTCAGTGATTTATAGTACCTTCTGATGGTGGGGAGAACAATCTGCTGAGACACCTCCTCTATAAAAACTTTCAACTGAAGCAGGAATGGTTCCTGAAAAATTAATGGGACATATAACACCTAAAACACTTAATTTTAAATAATTGAAAAATTACTGCTTGTTTATATTGTGTAATATATTAAAGGCAGAGCACAAACACGAAATGTAACTGGATATGAATGTTTTAAACCAAGAATATACTTAAGAGGAAAAAAGCGACTTGTTTTACCTTGTGATTTATGGAGGCCACAGCATCATAGTTAGGTGGTACCGGGGACAGAAACTTAGGACAGGCAAAAGAGAAGTTATTCTGAAACTCCTCAATGTCTCTGAAATTAATGAATCATTATACACCTCATTACTCACAATACATCTGCAAGATATGTATCAGGGGACACAATATAGGATAAAATCACAAGCTGATCGTTTACTCTATTCACAACAATAGAAACATTGTATGTATGGACTGGATATTTTATCAGAGATTTCATTCCTACCCTTTCTGCATTCTGAGCATCTTGTCCTGGAATTTCTCCCTGAGCTGAGAGTGTACGCTCTCATCAATTCTCATTGGATGTAGAACAAGGCAGATGGCCAGTAGAGTGTACATCTTATCATTCATCTTAGTGATCTACAGAATCAGAGAGTCCATATCTCTACTACATCATTGTCTGCACTGTCATTTAATTATTATCAGTAACTGAATACTGACTGGATTTTAAAGTGTACATGTTTGTGAGAAAAAGCATTACTTATAATCACGGAGTGGACTGAGAATATTGAATACTTTGACAAACTTTAAGTGTTAACTATACATATCAACTTTTGAATTTTCACCTGGTCATACATCTGTACCCTAGCTTGAAACATCTGTTTTGTTCTTTGGATATACAACAAAACATTGGAGAATGTTCGAATAGCATCCTGGTATCTTCTCATCATTAGATAAGCAAAACCCACATAGTAAAATGTGGTGATCTGGCAGGCAGGCACTCGTGAATACATGCTCTGTAATATTTAAAATTTACTGCTTTCAAATCCTAATCACAAAAATAAACATGACTTTTCAGACCTGACATATCCTTTATCAATCCATTTCTTTATTTACTAATCATTACATGAAAAATGCAAGGATTTTCTTTTTTATATGAAAATATGGCTAAATCTTACTTTTTTGTTGAAGTCAATACACTCTAGAATCTTGAGTGCCTGGTAGTAGTCGCCCAGTAGGGAGTGAAGTCTGAGGAGCCCCACCAGACTGAAGTAACCCAGCATCTTATACAGACTGTGTTGTCCAAACTCTCCAGCAACACTGTCAGGATCACCTGGTAAATAAATCAGCTCAAGGGTACAATAAACAGCATACAGAGATGTACTTAAAGACGTACAACACACTGGGGGAGATAACTCTTGCGATTTCAATGAAATGTTTAACTTGATGTCAAATTTGACGTTTATAATAAAGCGTCAAAATGACAACCAAATCGATCCCAACGTAATTATAAGAAAATGGGATTAGGGGCTTGATGTGGTTTCTTTAGAAATACCATATCATATCCTTAATTATTTGCGCTTTTGATTTAAAACCCGCCCCTCCCTCCATAAAAAGGAAAGAAAAGAAAGATTATGTCCTAAAATTTCTTTAATTTTACATGAAATTCATATCCGTGATCAATATTAGCAGAAAAATATTCTTTATCTTTTTTATGATACATTGCTTTCTTTTGTTACAGTTAGCTATGTAACATTCGCATTACCAGATCACGGGCCTATCTTAAAATAAAAAATTAGCCATATGAACACTGTTTTGTTCTCCTTTTAAAAAAAATGTTTTACAACCCGTTTCCAAAAGGTCATTGATCAAAGAGGAACAACTCTAAAAACGTGGGAAATTTTTCCCCTCCCCTTGTTGAGTTATTTCCTCCTGTTTGCCGAAGAGTTAAGAAGACATATTTACAATAATATTCTGATGAACTTATGAACTGAAAACTATAGTATATACTAAGTAAGTACCGAAAATGTAATAAAATTGTTTACTGAAATGGCCTGAATTCACGAATATCTTATATGCGGCAAACTAGTCATATCCGACCATCTACCACTGTCAACAATTTCAGTTCGCATTTCCTCGAATCAAAACAAAACGTTTTATACATGTATCACTGTACATGAATATTTTGACACATGAATAATTAAAACATAGATGGAGAATTTACAGTTTGATAAATTGAAGTTAATGTAGACGAATACGATATTTCCATTTTATCAATAGAAGGAATAGAAGGATGCATACAAGTGTGGGTGTGTGTGTGTCTGTGGGGGGGGGGGGGGGGAGGTACTGTTAGACCCCTCTCTTGTTCGAAAAAAATTCCATTTACCAGTCTGTTTACATCATAGAAGAGCTGAATTTTAAAGATTGTGAGTTCACTTTTAATGAAAAATGAGATTAAAATTCAATGTAAGTTGAAATCATACGCAGGTATAAAATCAGATGCATTTCAGCCATGTGTATTAAGGGACTACATATTGGACACGTGGACATAAAATCCTTAGAGAATAAGTTTTACTTTTATTCTAGTAGTTGATAGTTTAACTCTTATTCTAGTTGTCAGAATTTAAATCTGCATAAATGAATTAATTAATTGGTACTTCACAGATTTAAAAGATTTAATATATATCTTGAGGGTAACCTATGTTTCATCAAGCTCTAATGACTGCATCCAAAAGGGGGGGGGGGGGGGGCTTTGTCAAAAATTTCCTATACATCTGCATTTCAATGAACTGAAAAGTTTTAAGAACTCTGATATATAATGTAAATAATTTTTTTTACAGCAAAGATATTTTCTAACTTGGAATTTTTTCATGTGTATTTGTAGATCTAACAATGTTTTCGTCCCACGTCTGAAAAACGCTTGAGAAACGTGACTTAAGGAGAAAGGGGGGTGATTTTTAGCTGTAAATTCAAAACGGCTCGTTTAAAAAAATTACAAAAAATTATCAAGATTACTTTTGTAACCAGTTACTTGAAAAAAGTAATTTTTCCAAAATTAAATGATAGGTTTTTTCGTAAAAAATATTAAATTTGAAAAATACGCATTTTTCAAGGCTTAAATGAACCACAGTTTTTCAGTTTAAGTTCTTCAAAAAATATTGTGGCGGTGCGTACCTCTACAAAAATACTTTGTGTGGTTAATGGTTAAATGAATGAGTCGAAGAAATTTGACAGCCAGACTAGCTGGACTTTTTTGAAATTCAAGGATTTTATAGCTAGCCGATTGAAAATTTATCCTCCGCGTGAATAACCAAAGGGGGGTAACTTTTGGAACATTCTGTCCAAATACAACTCGAACGATTTTGTCCAAAATGTGCATACGTATTGTATACATAGTCATGTATAAAATACACAAAAATAGTGAAAATTAAACGACACTTATGACAGGAATTTTTTGGTAGTGAGTGTGTTGTACATCCTTAAAATATCGCTTATGTAAACCACAAATCTGCATACATTCAGCAAGGGGTATACATAGAGTAACCAGTAATTTTTACTTATGTGCATTGTTTTAATTAATGCATTATGTTTTAATTAATTTGGGTAGGAATCCTATTGGAATTTTTGTGTGTGAATTACCTCCCATGGAGTACACTTCCAACTGTTTGTTGATGTTAGACTTGTCCACTAGAGAGTGCAGCACATTGAGGACACTGTGGACATTCCATATCTAAAACATACACCAGTCAGTTACATCTGACAATATACAAATACTCACAAAATACAACTTGTTACTGTGTACATTATACAGTTCTGAAAACACACAAACACCATGTCAGTTAATCATATTCACCTGACACAGGTGTATTATCATTTACTTTGATACCTACCTTGGGGTTGGCTCTAAGGAAACTGATCTCTTCATCTGACTTCTTGTTCACCTTACATCTATAGATGCTAAAGCACTGGAACTGTCAACAAATAAAAGCAAACAATGTAATCTACTCATCTGATTACAGTTCAGACTAGTAAAACATCACTGGAATTGTAAATTAAACAGAAGGATAGAAATCTAACAAAGACTAACACTAAGACCAAGACATGCTTTGACGTCCATCCAAGCCTTAATATTTTAAAGTCTGTAAACATTTTTTTTTATAACCTTCCATTAAAATTATAATTACCTGATAGATAAACTCATCAATGATATCCCACAACCACTGATTGGGGAGTTCTAGATGAACTGGGCCATCAGCATCTACCAATCAGAATATTTACTCTGCATGAATGGAATT